CAACAATGTGTGAAGTTCGTTTGTTAGTGTGAACTCCTCTTTCTAGATTAACACATTTTAACAACAATGTGTGAATTAGATTATTTGTAGATTAAAAATTTCGACAATATATATGTTTTTTTTTATTTCTCTAAAACATTCTTAGTTGAAATTTCTGTTATTGAGTTCTTACTGATATTTTGAACAATCGATTTCATTCAGTCCTAAAACATTAATAATACTTAACGTTATTTCGTATGTACCTGTCTGGTTCCTATTTATGAAAAACAAACTATATTTTCAGTACTAGATATCAATAAAAGACTGTTGTTAATCTGCATTTACTTTGAATTCCTCCTAAAAAATTGATTTGGATGAAATCTTTTCAATCTCATGATTTATTTTTTACAACTTTACCTTCTGACAGCTTTTCAATTCAAACACGATATATGTCCTGTTAACAACGAATATCATGATATATTATCCATTTACTATGTTATTTAAAATGGACTTTATATTTATTTCCCTATTTTACTCGTGCAGTTTTTCTACTCAACATTTCCATTATATCATGTGATACATATAAATATATCTTAAACATTACTTTCTTCTAGACATATCGAGAATCATAAGCTTAATTCAGAAAAAAAAACAACAACTAGAAATGCTAAGAACGCGTGAGTGGAAGCAAAGGAGAACATGTTACAACGTGTCAACAACACTATATCTGCCATACATGTACAAGGTGTTTCACAGAAGGGGCGCAGTCATTACCAATCATGTCTATCCCTAAACAATGTAAGCATTACCTGTCTTGAACATTGGTCACTGACGCTCACAATATACTGCACACTGACACGTCTTTTACTTAAATCTACAAGTCGGTATTATTGAAATAGAAATAAATAAAAAAGTTTTAGTCTCGAATAAAAGTTATTAACTTTACAATATCACAAGGGTCTTGATTCACAAAATATTATCTCGAAAAGTTCCTAAATAACACTTGAAATTCTCATTCTATCTTCTGAAACATTCTATGTCTACAATACAATCATTATTTTTAAATATAATTATTTCAAATCTTGGGATTTTCTTCATAATCGCACTATATATAAAATGGATATTAGTCGAACAGAAATGGCAAATATTAAAACCAGCACACGTGTCTGATTCAAGAATTAATGAGACGTTATCATATGGTTCCAGTCACAAAAAAAGTTAGGTATCACAACCCTGTTTCAAAAATCAGAAGATCAACAATTTCAAGAATCATCTTTCCTAAACATTGTTTTGATAAGTATATATTGAAACTTCTTCGTCATCCCTGGAATTCAGAAGCATTACCAGAGGCCAGTCACATGTGGTTGGGAAACGTATTTAATTGCTTAAAGTTAGACAGAATTAACTACTATTTCATGAATAGGCTAATACCAGATGGAATAATTCTGCGTTCATGGTGGACAGTATCATTAACAATGTTGAATCGTGTTCGTGGTGTACAGTATCATTCACCAATGTTGAGACGTGTTCGTGGTAGACAGTATCATTAACCAATGTTGAATCGTGTTCGTGGTGTACAGTATCATTCACCAATGTTGAGTCGTGTTCGTGGAGGACAGTATCACTAACCAATGTTGAGTCGTGTTCGTGGTATACAGTAGTATTCACCAATGTTGAGTCGTGATGGTGGTGGTGGACAGTATTATTCATCAATGTTGAGTCGTGTTCGTGGTAGACAGTATCATTGACCAATGTTGAGTAGTGATGGTGATGGTGGACAGTATTATTCACCAATGTTGAGTTGTGATGGTGGTGGTATACAGTATTATTCACCAATGTTGAGTCGTGATGGTGGTGGTGGTAGACAGTATCATTCACCAATGTTGAGTCGTGATGGTGGTGGTGGACAGTATTATTCACCAATGTTGAGTCGTGATGGTGGTAGAAGACAGTATTATTCACCAATGTTGAGTCGTGATGGTGGTAGAAGACAGTATTATTCACCAATGTTGAGTCGTGATGGTGGTAGAAGACAGTATTATTCAGGGTTTCTGGGTAAAGTGATTTCGCTGCTGATTAGAGACACGTTCATGGTTTAATGACAGACTCAATCATGTGATACATGAATTTGCATGTAGTAATACAGGGTAAGTCGAATTAACACGAGGTTACATATGTATTAACTCAACATTTTCATGGTCATATCTATAATGTTGGTTCTTTACTGACCCAATTATGGATCGGGCTCGTGCCGATTGTCCCCAAAATGATTTTACCTTGTGGTCCACTACGTAGAAGCGATGAAGGTTCTAGACTACGACATACTGGTCAGTGTTAGACTGTGTAAAGTGTTTGAGATTCTAGTCTGCGTCAGGGTGGTCAGCGTTAGACTGAGTCAGGTGTAGGGGACCATGTCAGCTGGGTCAGACTGGTAGAATGGGCCACTTCTGACGAGCCATAGTCCACAGTCTTTTTTTTACGACTGTTCTTGAGAGATGTACTGTACAATCGGAACACCTGGGAATTACAACTGTATATGATGGCCACAAAGAAGCCCTGCAAGGAAGTCAACATAGTAAAAACAAACCAGAGAGAAAAGAGACCGGTAACCTGAGCAGAGAGACAGAATAACCACGTGACTATCTGGAATACAACGACTTTCAGGTAGAGGAACAGCTGAAGGCAGCGACGAGTTCTCATTTTCTCAGCAGTGCGGCGATTCATCTGCATGCTTACAGTGTAGCGGATAACAATGGCCGATTGGACAAAATAGAAAAGGTCAGCTCCAGCCAGCACAGCAGCGGGAAGCTCGAAGGTGTAGATCAGAGTGTTATAATCCACGAGCCAACAAGTAGAAACGATTAACGGACGACTGTCGGGTCCGCTGTTGGAGTAGAGAAAAGCCGCTAGACAGGTCAGGGCTGCCGGGAAACCCCACGCGAAAAGAGCACACTTTAGGAATGACTTACGACTCTCGGTAAGCGGAGATATTTGAAGGTTGACGTTTTCGCGGAAGGTTCTAAAGAGATCTCGGGTCATTACAGTTAGCCAGCAGTGCAGCGACAACCAGAGGTAGTGCAGTAGAAAAGCCAGGGTCAGACAGAGTCCGTGGTCATTCACCTTCTCCACACCGATGACGGAAAGCAGGTGGGACAGAAAGAGAGCAGTTAGGAGGTTCAGCAGAGACGTTCCACTCACGGTACGGAGGTCAGAGAACAATGTGTAAGTAATGAAGGCCAGCACTACCCCGACTATCGAGAGGCTTGTACCGATTACTGTTAACAGAGAGAGAAGACTTTCTGTTCCGGAACTCCATCCACCATCAACGTCGAAATCACTTGTCCGGTTTCCAGACTTCCTGGAAAACATTGTGGTCGAGCCACTCACAGCCTGCAGGCTTACCGAAAACACGTCCGCCATATCGAACAGGGTTTTTTAATTCAATAATACGACTACGCTGGAAACCTAACAGATTTTTCTATTAGTTTTTCATGACCACTCTTTCGATGTTGGTTTGAAGTGACAAGCATGTAATAAGATTTACGTCATAACAATGATGAAGCTAAGAGAAGAAACTTGGATCCTGTTAAATCAACGGATCTTTGGATCACATTAGATCTTGCTGTTAGTCCAGTTCTCTTCTGAAACAGCTTTATCACCCCTTCTCTTACTGACTTACGAAGTTCTTATTTTCAACAAATATGGACTTTGTAGGGTAAAAATAGTCCATATCCACGGAACACAACCAACACTTTACAATCGTCGAAGTTCACTGAAGTGATCGTGCAAGGCGCTTAAGTATTTATTTCACGCTTAGCAACGCAGCACCACTGCGCCCTCAGTTGTAGAAGTCTACAACTAAACGAAAGTGACTTAGGATAAGACCTTTCATTAAAATACAAGAATAAAACTTCAGTGTAATAATTGAAAATTTATTTATTAAAATACTATCAAGAAATGTATAATTTTTAAGGAACACATTAATATGTAGATATTAGCAATTCATAATATAACCGTCAGCTATAAAGAAATACCTTAGTAGACCTACTGGTTTTAGTTCTTTGATTAATACAACATCTTAATTTTAAAGTTTAAATGTTTATCTTCTAGAATGGGAAGATACCTGTTAAAATGATCATTTTAAAAAGTTGAAAAGTTATGTGAAACGATCTCAACAAATAGTTGTCACCAAGACATTTAAAGCTATATTTTGCGTTATTTACAAAGATCGTTATTTGATACCTAGCAAATAACAATTCAGAATATTACATTGTGTGCTGACTAAATAACAATAATCCAAAAAGATTCATTATTTTTTTACTTGCTTATTTGTTTGTTTGTTTTGGAATTTCGCGCAAAGCTACACGAGGGCTATCTGCGCTA